TTTAAATACAGTAAAAAGAGAATCATATACTTTGCATAAAGTCAAATAAAATTCAAAGTCATGTCTACTTTTTTCGAATCAAACGTTCCAGATATTATTTTTCACAAGCAAAATTTAGGGTTGTGTCTATATGGTCTCTACCCATCGAAAGGAGGTCACCACCTCACATATTCAAATAAGATGCATAATAGTTTAGTGATCTTGTTACGTATATGTAATCAAATTGCTTGTGTGTTAGTTTTTAATTTTAGGTTTGTTTCATTACATCTTATTGTAATGATTATTTTTACAGGATTCGATATTTTTTTCCAGTAAATTCTGTTTGTGTAGTACGGAAAAAGAATTACATCTGCATTATTTTTAACTGAGGCGAGGAAACAAAAACTTGACAATGCAAATGTTGTTATTGTTGTTGTTGTTGTTGTAGGGTTTAACACCATTTTCCAGCACAATATAGGCTATACATGGCAGCCAGTATAAATAGTGGAGGAAGAACCCAGAAAACCGCCGGAAAGAATCCACCGGTCCACTAGAAGCTACTGGCAAACTTTCTCACATACCCACAATGACCGAATCCGAGACCCAAACCCATGCAGACAGAGCTGAGATGGCAGCAATCTTTAACGGTGTGCGCTTTCGACCACTCAGCCACTCGGGGCCCAGACAACGCGAATGTGTAAAATGTAAAGACCAAACGGTTGTCCGGAGAAACACAAGTTGATTAGGAAATCGCAAGCGGGTTACACGGTTGTCCAATGCAATGGATCAATTGAGCGGCCAGTGTTTATGTGTTTACTAAACCCTTTCTAGGTTACAGCAAAATGGATTCAACTGCAATCTTGCTCGCAGATACAATTTTGACCCAGGGAAACATTTGCGAGTTTTCAAGGAAGGATATTGCTGGATCTGCAGAGAAACTTACAGCATCACCAATAAAAAAAACTTCGCCATGATTGATATATCACTGACACATACAGAGGAGCCGCACATGGCGCATGCAATATGCAGTTACGAGTTTACACCGGCAAGCAAGAATTCTAGTTGTAAAGAATTCTAGTTGTGCTTCATATTAAGGGAGGGCATGGTGGTCACCTCATCAAGCAAGCAATATCAAAAGCATCGAATACGCTAAATACTATCCTCAGCACCATGGACAAATATTGGACGTTTCGGATGGTCCAGCTGCAATTGATTGATTCGCCACAGTTTCTTCATTCAAGCCAGGTCAAGCTGGTTAAGAACTTTGCGGCGGGAGGCAACGATCGTTTTATAATCGATATGGTGCACATAAAAGGTTACGCTTACTCACCCGCAAAGAAATCTACCCGTAGGAGTACATGCGCGACTGTGAGAAGTTTTCTGAAACTAGGCTGCCACCGATTGAGGTGTAAGTGGACCAGTTCCACGCATGTGTGGTCCACAGCAGGTATACGATCATGTGGATCGACTGAAAACTCTTGAGATTAGTTTTAACCAGCAACAACGTACCAGAACTGTCAATTTGTCATGGGTAGCTCATCGGCATTATTATAGACCCGAATACGTATCATGCGTTAATGCTCGAAATTACTAAAACGTCGATAATTTATATAACATCGATGATCCGTTCTAATGAACTACTCCGTGTGATTTGCGCAATCAAAGCTGCAATACAACTTGTCTTTGCGAATGCAACCACCAGTGGTACCTTTATGATTACGATTTCATCAATGAGCCATAATTCCATGTAGTTTTAAAGACGCCAATTACTGCAAGTAACTCATGCACATTAGAAATTACAATAGCGCTCTTTGTGGGTATATTACAGTTAGCCTAATGTCCGATTATGGTCGCCTGGAGGTTTCTAGTAAATCACTTGTGCTCTCATCGGGCTCGGGCGTGATCTGAAATGTTGATTGCCTTTCCACAGGTGTATGCGAGATTGAACAAATCAACGATGATATACGACGAAGGATTACGTTGGTGACCGGCAAAGACTAAATAAATATTATTACGTGTTCACTAGCCTACACTCAGAACCACCTTTTTGATTCAATCTCCACAATACGGGGTCGACATCGGACATTCGACGCTGAGAACGGTTCCTGGTTGGCTCGAATATATTTGGCTGAGTTTTGCAGTCACTGGACATCAGTAACAACATAACTGTAATACGATTCTATTTTGACACAAACCTTAGTTAGAATTGTAATAAAATTAAGGAGATGCGCATTTGGTTATAGCGCCCCGTTTAAGCAATGCTTAGTTTTGCGTGATTATTTGTTTGATTATTGGAATTCTGTGCAATGGGAAATATTCCTTAGCCCGAATTATTTAGCCAATTACTAAGAGCAAACGACGCGGAGAGAAAATGTTAGTGAGTTAACGTGATGTCATAGTCAATGAGTAGCGAACCACGTGACTGTCCCTGTCATAATGAAGTCTTTAATAAAATGTATTGGTGAACATTGGTGTTGTGACTGCAGTGGCAGCATTTACGGTAGGAATCTGGTAAATTACACAGTGGAATAAACAAGAAAGGACACGGTAGATACCGTTTATGTCGCCATGGTGGCAATTGTGATGTAGTTTTACTGGCGTGATGTGCCTTGAAACTATAGATTGACTGGCCTTAGATGGCGTATTTAAAATAGTTCCCTGTGTTAGGGGATAGTTGTAGAGGTTCTACGGCGTGAACTGCTGACGGTATGGAAAGTTGGTGAAGAGAAACTATGTAGATGTGCGGTTGGTAGATATTTGGCATTATTGTGATCTTGCATTGATTAGAGAAAAAATTATGTACAGAATGAACACATCGCCCTTTCTAACTTTTAACTGAAGTTGTATATAAGTTTTTGGAAATTCGGGGTAAACGTATTACTTCTAGTGGGAATCGCGCCAGGGTTTTGACACAGCTCGGTCAAGCAAAGAACCCTGGCTTGTAACAGAATTAATTTCAAGACATACTATTTTGAAATCATTTAGCCAAAAGAACAAAGTATACTGATCAAGAATGGCAAAAAAAACCCGTTAAACATAAAGTATATTTCTAGTAATCATTTATTGAGATTCTTTATTGCTTTTTCCCTCCTGTAAGCAATGAACGTCACATTATCCAATATCCACGAAGTCAATTTTATTGCAAGTAATGATGTGTTATGGCCAATAATTACATTTAATTTTATTGCAAGTAATGATGTGTTATGGCCAATAATTACATTTAATTTTATTATTTGGTTATAACTCAATACAAAACGGATAGAATATTATATTTGATATTATTATTATGTTACTAAATTTTCAGTGTTTACAAAGCGGAAATGATCATTTTTCATTTCAGGCAATCAAGACGCTTGCCTAGTCTAAAAAGTTTACAGAATGTGTACAATATTCAGTATTTAGTAACAGATTTATTGCGATAGATAGGAACATGACAAACTAGGCTCGAAGTATATTCAAAAAGTTCATTAAAAGCCTTATCTTTCAAAATTTCTACACAGCCAATAATGCGTATGCACGGTATCAATGTGATAATGCTAGGTGTGCCGTATGCAGATATTTGTGCTGAATTGTTTTCGTCTGTATTAAATTTATATAAAAAAAACAACAAAAAACATTTAACATAAAAATTAATTTGATAATAAAAATAATATAAATAAATATTCATGAAAAATATGCCATGCATAAATTGTCACGCAATTTATTTATATGCACCCGTGAGAGTAAACTGAAATCATCATCATCTATAATTAATTCATACGCTGGAATGATGTCCCACTTGTATATGCCTATGTAATGAAGGATAATGCGCAACAATGTGTACAAGGTAGGTTTATTCAGGAGAAGCTCATACCATTTTGCAAGCACGAGAAAGGCCTCTTCAGAATTCCAAATGTATATTCCGTGACAACTCTTTCTCTACACCGTTGTACTTCCTCTGTGCATTTATGATTTGTGTTCTAACCAATCAAAATCAGTATGATATACCTATCAGCAAATGAGATTGTGTTATGGTTATTTGGCACTGAACGCATTTTGTTATGTAAGTTTGAGATAAACGATCAGAGTCGCCTTAGGCCGGCTGGTACAATTTGCTCCCCACCTTTTTTTTTCATAGGGGCCTAGCGCTTTAGCAATTTGTAAAATATATATAGAGAGAAGGAAAGTAATTTTAAACCGATGGAAGAAATTTTGTGTTCAATATTATATAAAAATTTGTTTTAAAGTTTATTTTCTAAATATCGTGATCATAAGAGGCCTTGCGTGTAAATCTGAGGGGATAGGGGCTCCAAAATAATCCAATATCGGTACCCGTGTTTGCTAAGGTCGGTGCTGTGTGTGTTATTTAGTTGTAAGTAAATTGTAACAATATTTACTTTTTAATTTATTTGATTATTATTGTGTTAAGGAAATCTCGAAATTTGAGTCCGAAGACCAATTTAAGATCCTTATCGAAGAATGGCCCAGAGCGCGAAAGAATTTTAACACGCGGGCTACTTCATTGCGCCAGTCTTTTAACACGCGGGCTACTTCATTGCGCCAGTCTTTTAACACGCGGGCTACTTCATTGCGCCAGTCTTTTAACACGCGGGCTACTTCATTGCGCCAGTCTTTTAACACGCGGGCTACTTCATTGCGCCAGTCATTGTCAGGATCACCTCGACGATACAGGTGTAACCTCTAATATCTTCTCTCAAGATTATATAGTGCTATGGCACTTCAAATCGTTTAAAATGGATGCGTTAGAGTAATTGTATGGTGAGCTTGGAGAGATCGTGATGTTATGTGATTATAAGTTTTAACGTAGCTTTAGCAACTTTTTAGTCATGTCGCTACGATGTCTGCAGTGTGGCAGTTTATAGTGATGTCTAGCACTGGGTCATCATGAAGCAGACATGTAGCATGATGTCCCACCCGGTCACATTATCCTAACACCATTCCGACGAGTCCTAACACTAACCTCTTAATGCTGAGCGTCAAACGAGGCAGCTGATAGTACCATTTTTTAAAAGTGTTTAGCATGACTCGACCGGGGATTGAACCCACGACCTCCCGCATCCGAAGTGGACGCTTCAACCACTAGGCCACAGGAGCGGTGGAGAGATCGTAGGGTGAACTGAAGTAATCGTAGGGTGATCTGGAGAATCCGTAGGGTATAGAGCAATTGTAGTGTGAGCTGGAGCAATCGTAGTGTGAGTTTGAAGGGATCGTAGGGTGAACTGAAATAATCCTAGGGTGAGCGGTAGAAAGCGTTCACAATGGAAACGGTTCCTTGGATCACAATGGAAACGGTTCCTTGGTTCACAATGGAAACGGTTCCTTGGTTCACAATGGAAACGGTTCCTTGGTTCACAATGGAAACGGTTCCTTGGTTCACAATGAAAACGGTTCCTTGGTTCACAATGGAAAAGGTTCCTTGGTTCACAATGGAAACGGTTTCTTCGTTCACAATGGAAACGGTTCCTTGGTTCACAATGGAAACGGTTCCTTGGTTCACAATGGAAATGGTTTCTTGGTTTCGTTGGGATTTGAAATTAATCTTATTCGTGATTCGGTCCTGCATCATCTTGCTTGGTGATTTATTTGAAAGAACCTGTTTCAATCAATGCATAATTATGGAGAGCAATGAAATTGACGACTTTTTGATAGACTAAGATTTTTGTCTGCAGAATATTAATAAATTTTATTTGACACAAGATTTGTTAGGAATCGAATACCATATTAGAAAACGGGAGGACTATATCATGTTATTATCTGTCATAGAAGGGTGTATATATTTTGTTACAAAAAGCGAAGTGTTACACATTTTTCTAGAAATTGACTATTCCGTCCGCGTACTACTTTCAGGTCTGCAAAATCTGCTAGATAGTTTACAGAGGCAATCGTTTTCATACGAAAGCACATTTAAGAAGAGGAGAGAACTCTACCTAGTCGACCACTTTATGGTGTTTCCTGCGATCAAATAGAATCATTATGTGAAACAGATATTATATGGGACAGAATTGCCTCATGTCTGTCAATTAGTATATCAACTTTATGAATGAATATACGGGACAGATTTCGGACATAACTGACCATGACCTTGACAGACGAGTTCATGGTGTATTGCATAGTACGCCTAATGTTGGCGAATCCTATATCAAACAGAGCATTCAGTCGCATGGCATACATATACAGAGATGGCGTTTGCGAGTAAGTTTTCAAAGAGTTGATCCAGTTGGAAGAGCCCTGAGAAAAAGAATCTGTATATAAAGGAGAGTATATAATGTAAAAGGGAAAAATCATATATAGCATGTCGATACCAACCACAAACTGATAAACTGAGGCATCATTTTTCACGGAATAGAGGGCGGCAAAAGACGATTGATTACAGGGAGCTACAGATAACAAGACACAAACTGCATTTAAAAATGTCGAGAAGGTAGTGAATATGTATGGTCTACCGCATCGCGTAAGAGGATACTGGGGTAAAGAAAACACAGAAATTGCTAAAAGTTTGATAAAGGGACGTGAAGGCAACATAGTAGGCTGTATTGCTGGTAACAGTGTTCACAATCAGCGAGTAGACAAAATGTTTGGAGAACTAATTAAAGTCTGTGTTAGACTCAGATAACGAGAAACATTTTTGCGTTACACTATGTCATTTTACCCAGAATTCGCGCATCAGTTTGGACAGTGGAACCAGCATGTATTAAGAACGGCATAAAAACGTTCGACATTTACGACCTTGGCAAATACGGCCTAGACTTCGAGCAATTACAAGAGACCTTATTAGATGGTTCTGCTAGATGAGGTCAAAAAATTATTCCATAGAGCAGACGTTTTCTAACTGGACAGCAACTTTTGACACTTCAGACTCAGGTTAATCCTGTACCTGACGGCAATAAGTTTGGTATCAACAATTATACATGACACGTGAGCATGTCATATCAAATTCTACTTCCTGGAACTATCCTGCCATGAATATCGCGAAAGTTTGTATATGTATGTGTGTGCTTGGATTTGTAACGTAGCTTTTATAATTTCAACCATACCTTTACGATGTCTGCGGTGTGGAAGTGGATAGTGATGTCTAGCACTGGGGCATCATGCCGCAGACATCATGTGTTACGCACTCACATTACCCTGATACAAGACCGACCACTACCTTTTAATGTTGAGGACAAACGAGTAAGTAGCTAGTTCCATTTTTATACAAGTCTTTGGTGCGACTAGACCGAGGTTCTAACCCGTGACCTCCCGCATCCACTGCAGAAAAATTGGGAGCGTTGATCGGAATCCTTAATTTCTCCTAACAATAACAGAACGCTGAAAGTCTAACGCACTGTCTAATTCACCAATATTTATGTTCATTCCAAACGGTAAAATCTAATACGAATAAATAATTATTGTGTGGAACGTTAGCAGGTGAATCACCCAAACTGATAATGCGAATTATTTAAATTTAATCCACCGCTCCGGTGGCCTAGTAGTTAGAGCGTCCGTCTCGGATGCGGGAGATCGTGGGTTCGATTCCCGGTCGAGTCATACCAAAAACTTACAAAAATGGTACTAACAGCTGTCTCGCTTGACGCTCAGCATTAAGAGGTTAGTGTTAGGACTGGTCAGCCTGGTGTCAGGATAATGTGACTGGGTGGGACATCATGCTACATGTCTGCGACATGATGCCCCAGTGCTAGACATCACTATAAACTGCCACACTGCAGACATCGTAGCGACATGACTGAAAAATTGTTAAAAGCTACGTTAAAAATTATAAACATCACACCTAAATTTAATCTTATGTGCGACATTATCCACATAAAAAAGCACGAGAAACTGGTGATTAATAATGATATCGTTATCATGCAGAAATTAAATTGATTTATTGGGAATATCACAAGATATAATCTTAAAATAAAATGCAAACTAAATCCACTTTTTCCAAATTTTTAGAAATGTATTTGTATTAAAGAGTATTTGTACAAAAGCGAAAATGAGGCAGACGCACGGGCAGAATGATGGATGGTCACACGGAGTATGGAAGAGGGAAGGACGGATTAAAAGTATCAATTTATTACATTTCGTGTTTTTCCACAGAAAACAGAAAAATGCAAAGATAAGATATTGGCATTTGCGATGGAGTCATCACACTAGCTTTATTTCATTTTTTTTGTAAACAATATACCGCTGAATAGACTGAGCAGATACATAAAATCAAGTTGATGTTATATATGTTACATTTCCTTCATCGAGTACTTACCTGTTCAAATTTTAACATTAGTTATAATTATTTTTCGTTTTTTTCGAACTTAGAATTAAACTCTGTCACTGTTAGGGACCTCAAGTAGTCTAAAGCTCTTTTCGTTACGGATCACTGCTAACTCACTCACCTCTGTCTGCGTGGGTTCGAGTCTCGGATTCAGCCAATGTTTATATAAGAGAAAGCTTGCCAGAAACTTCTCGTGGGTCGGTGGTTCTTTCGGGAATTTTCCCGTGTTCTTCCTCCGCCATTAATGCCGGCCAGGATGTATCGTGAGCTGAAAATGGCATTAAACCCTACAACAACAACAACAACAACAACAACAACAACAACAACAACAACAACAAAAATCTGCCATTGGTAAAAAGCACAACAATAGCCCCTTTGAAAAGAACATTCTCTGAAGGGCAAAAAAATAAAAACAGTATCCTTAGCCATTTCATTTGTATTAACATATTAGGAAACGTTCTTATATTTCAAAGTGATTGATTCAGCTCACCCTTTGATCTCTCAAAGTTCACCCTAAGATTACGTCAGCTCACCATACAAGTACTTCAGCTCATTCTACGATGCTTCAGTTCATCCTATGATCTCCAAAAGCTTACCATACGCCAACAAATAACCACATTTTACTAGAGCACAAACATTAAAGAGATAAAAGAAAAGACATTCAAAACTTTTGAAACAGTTTATGCCGGTTTCACTACATATAAAAGTTTTTCTAAACCGTTAATACTCAAGAGTGTTATGAAAGGGTGGATGGGTGTATTTTGAAACTTCTACACCGTTTGCACTGTCAGGTCGCCGATAAAACTCGATTCGAAACAGTTAAAGCACCATTAACATTCTGAATTCCTTCAATACAAGACCGGCATTTCCAAAATCTCCTAGTGTAAACCAAGAAGGGAAACAACCTCGTAAGTGTTAATCTGTACACTAAGCTATCTAACAACAGTTAGTCCCTCTAATCTACCAAGCAATCTCATAATACACCGACATTGTTCCTAAGATAAGATCCAGAAGGTAGAAATAACTTCTTTCATCAGGTTGATCAACTTTACTAATTTATCGTCGATGTTACATGTTTTATCATAAAAATACCATTTCGGTTCTCTCAGCTCTGTGTCCTACTACTGTTTAATAGAGTGCAGATAATAGGGATAATAAAATTTGGAGGAAAAGCATCTCAGCAAGACCTAAGCCATAGGACAGTCATCGTCGACCTAACGACGGACTGCAATGATGATGATGACGACGACGATGAAAATTGATAAGCTATAAACGACTTCGCAAATATTGCTTTTTTTCAGGAAGAATGTGCCAAAAAAAATTCCTCAAGGTGCAGCACAGACCCCTTACAGAACCTCAATTTGCACATGTATTAGTTCATACAGTATACTGCTTTGCAATTTCGCTATTCCATGACAATAAGTTAATGCGCGATGTCTTTAATCTTCAATCGTAGAATTTACTTTTAGACTCTAAAGGACTGTCGTTGGGTTCTAGCGAACTTGCAAATTGTGCAATGGCTAACTTTTATATCTTAAAATATATCCAAGTCTGTCTGTGCTAAATTCAAAACTAAGAATCAATGAATCATGAATATTTATTTTGAGCTTATATTTTCTTACTCTATCCCACTCCGAACAACTGTTGCACATACGTTATCGGCTTTATTTTGCTAAAGTAATTACTTTCGTTTGATCGATAAACTTGATTTCTGTTACACATAACTAATCCTGAACATCGGCCTACAAGTACACGATTATGATAGCTGTAGGTAAGATTAAATAATACAAATATGATAATCTCTCTCTCTCTCTCTCTCTCTCTCTCTCTCTCTCTCTCTCTC